CCAACAAGGATAACGTCTTCAAAAAGATGTTAATGTACCGATGTTACCGGCCACTCTCCAGTTACAGATCACTCTCACTGGCTTTTCAGTACTCAAACACCACTTCACTGGTTCAGCAAGTGGCTACTGGTGAAAGACACACAGCAACATAATAAAGTGCCAATAATATGTGGCTGAAAACGCATACAAACAAGTTGTTAGATCAACACGCTCTTTTGCGAGGATGTAAAGCAAGGACAGAATCAAACCATTCAATCCTCATAGACAGGATTGGATAAACAGCAGTGGCATATTGAAAAGAAGCAAGAGGCCAGGATTCCATTATTGATGCGCTGTAAATGATAGACGAGGCTGAGCAGATTGTGTATCATTTCATGCATTATGCATGGCCAAGCAAAGAGCATCAGTCTGTGAGCCTCCCTCTTCCTAACACAAGAGAAAGCAAAATCAAGAGAGTAGAGCAGGAAGAGAACGAGAAACCCAACTCCCCTCCCCCTGCCTGCCTGTTCAGCCTCTGCCTCTTACAAACAGGCAGAGCAACTCTGAGGAGCCATAGCCCACAGCTGATCCTCCTTTTCCTAAAGCCTATAGGGGCTGGCAGGATTCACTTTCAAACATGGAAACTGATGTATGAATGCTGAGGTCATAGCAGGCTCTCACGGTAGGGCATAGTACACAAAAAATGTGTTTGTGGTTTGGTAGGACTTATTCCGCGGGCCTGTCGTGGCAAAGAACGTATAATTATGGCCACCCGCATTCCCGCACCACAGTCTGTCACTGTGGGTACCAAGAGGTTTCATGAGGGAGCAGAGCCTCTTCAAGCACTCCCAAAATCCAACTGCTTAGTGGAAAACCCCTCCGTCTCTGCCACTCAGCAGTCCTTATGGGGGATGTGCTCCACACAACCATCCAGACTGGTGGACATTTCTGTTCAAATTGTATATATATCCACGCCATTAACCCAGAATAAGTCAGCTGCTACAAATAGAGAAGGTAGCATGTATATTCAGTTTTTTTGCAAACATGGGCATATTTTGGTAAACATGGAATTTGAGTAAGACTGATACATTGAATTCTTTACCAAGGGCAGCCTTTAACTTTAAAAACTTCTGGTTTCTCAGTAGTCATTTGCCACAGATCTGATAAGAACCTCCACCCAGGCCAGCTTGCAGAGCTTGATATGATATCTTTACTCCCAACTGGGACAATAAAGTACATAGCACAAGCAAAAATGTAGGCAAGGGTGTGTCTGTGAACTATGATCTCATAATGCATGCTTTAATCTATAGACAAGTCAGTAAAATAGCACTGAAAAGTAATTATATATACATTTTTTTCTATACAGCAGTTTAATAGTTCTTACCTCTACAACTAATAAATTGATTATTTTCTTCTTAGTCTTTAACATCTTTGCAGGCTAATTTTCAGCGACTGATGACTTGTGAAAAGATGTTTTTTGTAACTAATTACATATGATAATGGTTTTACTGTATTTAGATTTGTCTGTAAGAAATGCCACAGTGAAGCAGCATGAACGATATAAGAGCAATCGCAGTGATATGGCTGAATGGGACAGTGAAATTATTATTGTTATTAGTTACACCTGCATCTGTGAGTAGAAAGATTTACTAAGTATCAAATGTCTGGGCTAAATGCAGACTTTAGTATGTCAGTAAAACCCAGGGTCCTGAATTAAGTTGCCTTGGTGCATATCTAAACAAAGAAACAACCCTGCCAACAGACTGAAACATTCACAAATATGTGATGATGTTGAGCCAGAGTGATTTGATTAACTCCTGTGTTGGTTTCTTGTAACAAACCTGTAGGAAACAGAGGCCCTAATCACATTAACCAGATGGGTCATACACAACAGTGAGCAATCTAAATACCAACTTGCCTGTCTGGGATGAAAAATAGGACTGTAACAACTGAGAGACACGACACAGCAAATATGGTCTAGCCCTACTTTTCTTTTCTCCACCAAAGTCAAGAAATGTACGGCAGACACTGAGCAACATCAGACATGCTTAATGTAATGGCTGAACATTTGCTAGTTTAACAGAGTGAAGCAGCAAGTTAGGTCACTTGGTACCCATCTCAGAACAGAAGCTCAAGCAGGAGGCAGGAAAGGAGACGTATTTATGCTCCGTGTGTGAATCATACAATCTACCTGTCTGAGATGTGTCTCTTCTCAGCACTATGCGACTCTGTTTCTATTGTTGTTGGTTTTGCAGACAGTAAAAGAGAGATTATTTTCATCCCTGGGGACACAGTGATGAAGACAGCCTTTCACACACATAATATGCACCTCACCAAAGAAAAAGATCTCAGCCACTGGGGAAATTATAGTGCACCCCTTACTGAGAGCAACAGCCGCTCAGTGTTCAGTGTTCATAGGTAAAGCCTGTTGTCACCACAGACAGTTTGCAAATGAATTATCCTGCAGCAATCACAGTTTTGCATAGCAGGTGACTGAAAAACATGCTAAAGGGTTTCGGTATTGGCCACTCCTGAGCTCAAACAAGCCCTTCGATCAACAATGAGTCATGAGCACACCTGTCGCTATAGTGATGTGAAGCACCGCCCAGAAGCTTTCAGGTTGAAGTAAGACTTGAACTTATAGGTAGGAGTTTGACTTCTACTGTTCTACATTGTGGGCCCTCAAGTTTGAGAGCCTGCTCGTTAGTAATAGGCATACAGAGCAGTTGCTGTAATTTATATCAGAAACTCTGAAATGCACTTTTCATATACTTCATGAAAGGATGAGCACGCTCAAGAGTCCATACCATAGCAATGCTTGAGTAACTTTTCAGTAAATGGACGTGTATGTTTGCGCTGTCTGCAGGCAGAAAGCTGAAGGTCAGCATATGCAGTGAAATCAAGGTCACCATGAAATGTCTAATGTTCATTGCTGATGATACATGTCAAGTGCTCTCACAGCACACACTCCCACTGAATTGAATTAATGTGCACTGAGTGCTAGTCTAATTTGCGAGTGTGTTCTTGCCTGAGAGTTGTTAAGACATGCTCTTGCCAATGTGTTTACAACCAAGGATGTGTGTGCATGACATCTGATTGGCCAATCAGCTTCCTCTATTCCTCTGGCTGGTCTGCACGAATCTGTGACTGCTGTTTGGGTTGGGTCAGACACTACGTGTCTCTCAGTGGGGTGGAAACCTGCTAAACAAGCTGCTTTAGAGCAAGCTTGTTTTGTTTCTTTATCTGCTGGGTGATCTTATTCACTGCTGATGTTGGAGTGGATAACAGGACCAGCCTGTTGAGGAGGACTGTAGCCTAAACCTCAAACCTCAAAGGAGGAGGAGACGTCAGGGCTATTTCCCCAATTGCCTAAACTTTGTCCAAAAACAAAGACAAAAGAGGAAGATGGTAAGGGAAGTTGTGTCTGATACAGATGTGAGCTTGCTGAGAAAAGGCCAGCATTTTAATGAGAGAAAGCAATGAATTACATGAAGCACACTAGAGACAAATGCAGCTGCAAAGACACACATCCCTAACAAAAGGAGTCGGCTCCTTCTTCCCACACTGCTTCACCCTGTGAGCCGTCCCTATCACATATTTGCAGTCCCACATCTAAAAGAGTGCACACGCAAATCAAACAACAAACTCATATTTGAATAAATAAAACTCCACTCAACAGCTGTAACAATTAATGGTGAATGCAAATCCTGTAGGACTGTCTGGGTGTGGGTGTGAGTTTATAAATAGAGCTGAATGAAACAGTTCTTATTCAGAAGTAAAGCCAAGTAGATGGCTGGCAATCGAGGACTGTTTGTGCTATGACTTGCTGAAAATAAAGTGCCACAATGGACTGAACCAAACCTTTAATTTGTAAAAAGACCTTCATGTCTAAAATATGAGGTTGTAAAAAGATATTCATTGACTGATTCATTCACTGACAGTATTTAAAGACACAAATACTGTGCACATGAATGGCAATGATTAGAGGGAGAAAAAAACTTAGTAACTAGGGTAAAACAACTATACTTAACTTTGTATAACAGTATTTTTCCTCATTTATATTAGACTCCTAGACTGCCCTATTCGGTCGCCACGTTATGAGCGTATCTCAGTCTGGTTGTTGAACCTGCAGCTACTGTAAACTCTGAAGGCTGGTTTACGACAAGTGCGTAACACAATATTGACGATACGTACTGACAAGGTAACAAACGTTAGCTTAGCTTTATGGTGAATACCATTTACGAATAAACAAACAACCAAAAACACAATTTGAGAGTGCACGTAATACTGTTTATACGAGATATATGCAACACTTTACTATCTCAAATAACTATTTTCACTTACCTGCCAACAAAATTTTCTAGGACCGAGCTTTTTCCGGCGCTCTGTCCACCGACCACAGCGATCTGAGGCAGGTCGAGATTGCAACTCTGGCCAATGGAGCTGAAAGCGTCTTGAAGCTTGTTGATCAGGGGAATCAGGTCTTCCATGCCCCTGTTCCCCATGGCTTCGTTTGCTCTGAGAGAGCCCCTTCAACAAAACGCAGACCAGAGTTGACGCTAGCCGCGCTAACTAGCTCGGTAACGTTAGCTTAGCAGCAAGGTGCTCTCGGGTTACTCTGAAGTGTTGCCTTCCGCCGTTTCAAACAGCTCGAGCGTTTACTCTCTCTTTGAATACTTGGGTGGTCACTAGTGATGCACTTCACACTAAAATCATTTCGTGTTCTTTAGAGCACATTAACTAAATACTCAGTCAGTCGCAACGGACGGAAAACTCACAAAACAAAACTTCCTCTACACAAACGCCATCCGGTCAGGGGAGACGACATCCGATCAAAACCGGTGAATGTAGACCCGCCTCTCTCCACAGCAAGCCCGTGTTTTGGCTGATTCTGCTGCCGCTCATCCGTCGCATGATTTGATTGGCTGTGAAAAAGGCGTGTTCCTCAAACGAAGCAGCTCGTTTCTAATTGGTCGGTTCGATTGTCATTCGCAGGCCCTTCATGTCACATGGTCCTGAAACATGGCTGCCACCATAGAGTGTGGGGCTGATACAAATACTTCAGAAAACAACATGTCCTTTAAAAAAGCTCTGTCTGTAGCTTCTTCTCTCACGCTGCAGATTGTTGCTGAGTGCCCGGTGACCAAAGCGAGGGTTTGTGATCTCATACTGCCACACTGCGCCGTTAACACACCGGTTTTTATGCCTGTCGGTACTCAAGGGACCCTGAAGGGAATCACTGTGGATCAGCTGGAGGCTCTTGGATGTCAGATTTGTCTTGGAAACACATACCACCTTGGAATGAGGCCGGTAGGCAATGCTACAACAACAGCAGTTCCCTTCTCTTTTGTAATACACCAGACTTTGGCAGTGATTGCCCGAATTCATAATAACTTTCCTTTTGTAAAGGTGTTTTTCTGTTTCATCTCTGCTGCCTACAGGGACCTGATTTGATCGAGAAAGCCAGTGGTTTGCATGGGTTCATGAACTGGAAGAGAAATCTTTTAACTGTAAGTGCAGCTTTGCTTTCCTTAATCAAACATAGATGACAAAGGAGTTGAAAGAAGGGCGAGTTTATTAATTCACTGAAGTGCAACAGGTGGCCGATGAGCTATGTGTTGAAACCTTGTATTTCTTTTTTCACTGCTTACAGGACAGTGGAGGGTTTCAGATGGTGTCTCTTGTTGAACTCTCCGAGGTCACTGAGGAAGGCGTCAAGTTCAAGTCACCCTATGATGGGAAAGAGATCCTACTAAGCCCTGAGAAGTCCATCAGCATACAGAACAGTCTGGGTCAGCAAAGAGCAGAACAGTAGAATTAGTGCTGAATAACAAATATCGTAACCTTTGCTTCTCAGTAGCTGACTGACAGCATCTCCATGTTTCTTTGTGTTCTTCTAGGTTCAGACATCATGATGCAGTTGGATGACGTGGTCAGCAGTACTGTGACGGGACCAAGGGTGGAGGAGGCCATGCACAGATCCATTCGGTGGCTGGATCGCTGCATTGCAGCCAATAAAAATCCACACAAACAGAACCTGTTTGCCATAATCCAGGGAGGACTAAATTCAGAGCTGCGCAAAGCATGTCTAGCTGGTAAAAACCCCCGTTCTGTGGCGACCCTTTGTCCGTTTTTTTTGTCTCTGTCTCTGAAAACTGCTATTTACAGCATGCTGAATAATTGGGTTATAGCTGGAAAGGGTCTAAAACTCCAAAATGTAGTTATTTCACGAATTTGGAAAGCAGTCCCGTGGAGTAACACATTTACATGGCATGTTTCTCTACTCAGTGCATCCATAAATGTAAATAAGAATGCAACAGGTGGCAGAAAACTTGGTCAAAATGTCAGGATGTGATGAGAAGATTTATTGGGAGCATACTGCATTTAAGCAACGACATAGGAGGGTCACACACTGAAATGCCAGGTCTAATTGTAAACACTTAGACTGTAAAACACAAGATACGGGGTCAAACTTGCACTTTTGTCAAGTCAAGTTACTGTTATTTATGTAGCACATTGAAGGAACAGATGTTGACCCAAAGTGCTTTCCAGTTGAAATACAAAAGTTCTAAACTGATCTGACAATTTCAAATCGTAAGGCTAAAGCCCTACAATATTATAGATTATACGCGTTTAAATATTAAGTTTATATATATTTTTAGGTTTTCTAATACAAATTTACCTAATTAATTTAAATGCTTTTGTTTAGACTCTACAGTATTATATACTATAAAATGTACATGACATAGACACAATATACAGACAGAATATAGAGGCATTATTATAATGACTTTAGATATTGTTTCCCCTTCCTGTAGAAATGACCAAACGTGAAGTTCCTGGTTTTGCCATTGGAGGCTTAAGTGGAGGAGAGGAGAAGGATGACTTCTGGCGAATGGTCACGCTGAGCACCGACCACCTGCCGCGAGAAAAACCTCGCTACCTCATGGGTGTTGGGTATGTTTGCCTGTACGCACTAAAATTCATCGTGAGACTTGTGTTGTTTTATAGGGTTGTTAAAGTGACATAACAGTTTGTGTGTTCCCCACGTGCTGTAGGTATGCTGTGGATCTGGTGGTGTGTGTCGCTCTTGGATGTGACATGTTTGACTGTGTCTTCCCAACTCGCACTGCGGTGAGCTCTCTTTACCTCACAGCACTGAGAAATCACTTTCAAATTGTCATTTACGAGTTATGATCCATATCACAAACTGTTTTTCACTTTTGCTTTTCCTATTCTTCAGAGGTTTGGCTCTGCCTTGGTGCCTTGGGGATCTCTCCAGGTGAAACAAAAGCAGTATGCGAAAGACTTCCAGCCCATAGACCCAGACTGCCAGTGTCCCACCTGCAAGAGGCAAGTCGACAGCAGTTCATTATGACAGCAAGCTTGTCTTTATAACGGCAGAAATTGAAGCACTAAAGTGGTTTAGTGCCCAAGAACACCTCATTTCAATAATGATTAATTTATTTATTTTCTGGTGATGAAATCTCAATAATAAAATCCAAATAGACTCACAGACTGTCTTAAATAGCTACTTTGATTTTACTTGCCTCAGAGTGTGTGATGAAAATGCCTGTTTTGTATTTCAGACATAGTCGAGCTTACCTGCACGCTCTGTTTAAGAGTGACACTGCTGCCATGCATCACATCACCATCCACAACATTGCCTACCAGGTTGGTATTAGGACAATCTTGTATGCACTTAACTTGACTGATAATTAATACAGTATACTACCAGCATGGTACCATCCTTTCTTTTATGTGCTTCCAAGGAGCTGAAAGATCTAAAAGGCACTTTCTGCATATATTAGATATGATTCATTAGTTCATTAGTTTCTTATATCTGCCACACTGACTCTGGGACATAACTCCAGCCAGATATCAGTGTAATTGGCTTCATAATGTGCTTCAAAAGTCTTATTGCTCTCACAGAAATATGATTTAAATGTTCAGCTTTACAAATGCACGTGGCATGATTACATCAGCGCCTCAGTCATGGCCATTAAATCTTTTAGTGCTTTCTGTATCCCAGTAGCACAAACTTTCTGTGGTGCTCTGACATTATCAAAACAACAGAAAGTCCCATCTTGTGACAGATATGTCCCAAAATATAATAATCATGTGAGAAGACCTTAACAGATACTGTCTGTTTATGCAACCTATTAATTTGGTGATCCTTTTTTCCAAAAGTTTTTGTCCATGTTTACTTTTAAACCACAGTGGCTCAGGAATGTCGATCATGACGGTCATCTATGTCTTTGATCCAGACATTAATGTCTCATGAAGTATTAAATGGATTGCTGTGAAACATTAACATTTTGTCTTAACATGCTGCTATGGCAAAAAGGGTTGCATTAAAACAGTCATGCTCAGAGCATGCTGGCCTGTAGCTGACCTCATACACTCTGAAGGTGAACAGAAGAAGATGATTTCCTACTGCAGATCAATAGTAATAACATTATTTTTCCTCTATTCATCAAACATTTCTTCTTGCAGCTCAACCTGATGCGCTCTGTGAGACAGAGCATCGTGGAAGGACGCTTCCCTGAGTTTATTCAGACGTTCATGAAGCGGATGTTTCCCTCCCGTGACCAGTATCCCAGCTGGGCTGTGGACGCTTTGGCTTCTGTCAACGTCACACTTGAATAGAACCTGGAAAGCAACTGTTTTTATTCCACATGAAGATAAATGTCAATGACTGTATGATTTTTATACCTTTTAAATAACCTTTTTTATGGATTTTTTTCTGGTCTTTGTTTATACTTGTACATGCATTGCTTGTTTTGTTGAAGATGAGGAGAATGGCTTTTGATCTGAAGGGATAAAGTCTGGTTGTCTGTTGCTCACCCAGCCTCTGCAAATTGTCCTCAGAGTACACATTATGATAATGTGAGACTGAATGGGGTTTAAATGAGGTTTGAAACACATGAACTATATCTGATATGCTCAGACATTTTTTGTTGTTACCATGGCTACACAGCTAGGCCCACCCACTTGAAATGAAATGTTTTGCCTTCCTGTCAACGCTTTTAATTTTTTTGTGGTTACTTGTAATACAGAGACGTTAGATTTTTGTCCACAGGCACAACATTTGTCAATGTGTATCTGTTCTGGTGTTTTAGACTTCATCCTCCCTGACCAGTAGTTGCCAGCTGACTGTTTTGAAGAGATACATAAATGTGGCTCATGACAGTGTGTGCTTGCATCATGAAGACCACCAGAGGGCGAAATAGATACAACCACAGCAAAGACTGAATAAAACTGAATGATGTGTTGTTTCCTAATAGAGTTTAAAGCAGTTTGGCAGTCTCAAAGTAAAATTAGCATACAAATATAATTAGATTAGGCATCTGAGCAGATATCTAGGAGCACACAAAAATACTGGCACAATCCAAACTCTTTCTAATAGTGTCTGATTTCTCTTTATATCCATTTTTTTAACCAGTTCAAGAGGCGATAATCCTTTTCCATCCTCTGAGTAAAAGGTTTTGGTTGGAGCTTGCAGAGGTGCTGGTTTATCAAAGCTCAGTTGTGGCCAATTAATATTAATCAATGGAAGTTAATTTGAATAACACCTGTTGTCTGTGGCTTTGAGTCAACAGTCCTCTTAAGCAGCACATTTGAATTTCATTACCTCCTCTGTTCTGACCAGAGGCTCTCCAAGATTAAACCTGTGACATGGACTGAGTGGCAGGCAAATTAATACACAGCTCTAAGTGCACTTGTGCATTAGAAATAGTGGGCTTGTTGCATAAGGAAAGGAGTTTACAAGTGCTTATACCCTTAATTCCAGGTGGTTATTAATTAGTTACGGTGAGTGCTGAGGAGGACTGCTACAGATTTCATACATGACCTTTTCAAATTCAGAGGAACTTGGTTGTATTGTGTGTGTTTTTTTTTCATAAGAAGTCATATTTTTTCCCCTGTCTCTTCTACTTCCATTGGGTATTCTGATTATATACCATATGGGATCATAATGAGAGAGCAACAGCACTCAGAGCTCAGCTGCCAGCCGTGCACAATCGTGTTAAGTGTCTGAAAATGAATATGCACCATGTCAAAGCGTTGCACTAAATAAATTAGATGTGTTCTCGTATGTATTTAAGCAAGGCAGTGCCCAACTTGACTGACGTGTCTCCCATGTTTCCCTGTGACGTTTCAGAAAAGCCCAGATAAAATAGAAAAAAAAAACTAAAGCGCACTATGCAGAAATAATAAAAGCGTCGTTATAGTCTCTCGACTGAGATCTGCGACTAAGGTCTTCTCAGTATAACAGATAGAGAGAGAGAGAGTGCGTGTGTGTGACAGTTTTCTTTTCAGGACTGCATAGAACATGATGCTCATAATGCTGCGCAAATGTTGACGGAGAACGCTTATTATTTCTTGTTGTAATGTTTTTGTCAGTGTTTTGTTTAATTATTATTATTATTTTGTTTTTCCTTTAATGAAAAGTCGTCGCACTGTTCCCCAACGCTTCATTTGCAGTATGTGGATCTCAGGCAGGGAGGATGCTGGTGTTCAAAGAGACAAACAGTTGCTCTCCAGCTGTCACCGTAAAAGTGGAGCCTCCCCTATACGCACCAACGGCTGAACATCCTCGACCTGTTGCCTCAGTGTGAAGAAAAGTAGAGCTGCATTGTGACGGCTGCGAAATCAGAGAGAAGTTCGTTTTCCAGTATAGGAGGGAGGTCGAAGACGGTGCCATGAGGTGTATCAATGTGCTCGGTATTAATTTACGCTTTGAATAGCAGAAGGAAGAGGAGCGGAGTTGGTTTTGGAGGGGACGACCTCCTCGGTGTGGAGGTGCGGTTTGCGGTGCTATTTGTCTCTGTCTCTGGGTTTTGAGGAGGAGGACCATGGTCGAACTGGAGAAGGAGGTGCTCCCGCTGCCCCCTCGGTACCGGTTCCGAGACCTGTTGCTCGGGGACTGGCAGACCGACGACAGGTAAGAATGCAGGTACTTGTAGGGTTTACGCACGGCGCACAGAATTCGTTGCGCATCAGTGCGCCATGAGAGCATCTTATCCAACGGTCTAAAAAGTACCCTTCTTTTGTCTTTGCATTTTCTCCCTCTGAATGTCATGATTCAGGTGAATGAGTGTGTTGAAGCATTTTCCTCTCAGCTGTGTAGCTCTGTTGTAATGGATGCTGCAACAGGTTCGTTTCTCTGTGTGCGCAGAGGCGACTGTTGCTAACACATTACTATCACACAAATATGCTCAGTAAACAATAAGATAAGAATAAATAAATAAAAAATGCAAGCATCTGTATATCAAATAACATTTATTTCATTAATTTTCTTATAATGCAAGAGGGGCATCTGTGTAAATATGCACACTTGAAACCTCCAGAATTCCTTTGGTGGAATCCATCAGGATGGAAATGTAGAATAAGTAAAGAAGTGGGTTTACCTATTTATGTTACTCTGACTGCCGTTATTATTTGGATTTATAGTGAAACATCAGCCACCTGGACAGCCAATTGCAAGTGGGTGCTCTCCTTAACTGGGAATTAACCTTTGCTTACATTCCATTTGCAGGGCTGTGGATCTGACGTGCTATATGATATGCATTGCTTAATTTGGCTATTTCATGATACTGTCTAATGGAAAACCTTAACCTCCATTTCATGCCTGGTGTCTCTTGTTGCTAGGTGGAAATGAGGCCCAAAACACTTGCGTTTGGACATGAGTGGGTGTTTCAAATCAGATAATTGGGGAAACTTACAATTGGAAGCATGGAATAGATAACCAATCCAAGTCCAAGGGCTGCCAGCATTTATATCAGACACTGCTATTGACTTGTTCATGGCATGTTATGGGAGTCTAATCTGTCAATTATGCTTATAATATTACAGAACAATATTAAGAGCCCCAAGCAGTGTCCATTTATGCAGTATGTCTGTATCCCTGACCTCTGAAAAGATCTTATTCTGCGTAGACAAAGCCTAAACAGGCCTTCTCACTCTGGTCGTGCTCTTCTGGCCTTCTGTAATTTGTCAGCTATTGCCCAAGGACTAATGTTCCAGTGCAGTGTGACCTCAGTCACCTGATTACAGAGGTTTTGCTGCTTTTTTTCTTGGAAATCCATGAGACACGAAAGGACCTTTTATAGTCCAGGTTTCCTCAACCTCCGTAAAATAAAAAAAGCTGATGAAAAACCGAGTGGATGATTTCATCGAATGAATACTGCACAAACAAAATAGATGTACAGTGATAATATGATAGTGAATAATTTGATTTAGAGGCTGTTGAGACAGTTTGAAAATACTGTGTGTATGTTGTTGCCACAGATATGCTGCAATACCTTGTAAACACACAATGTGGATTATTGGTTTAGGGATAACCTTACATCAATCACCGTAAGGGCCCTAAAAGGTACAGAGATTCTTCTTAATGCTGTGTGTACCCATTTATCAGAGCTGTACAGCACACACATTCTAATTTTTTAAAAAGAAGATATATATATATATATGAATAATAAGCACCTATTAAATATAAAATGTAGTCCTTTGTACCTGCGATGAGTGTAGTTGGCACTCTTTAGAGCTCTATTTATGTGTGTCTGAGCGTCTGAATGCATGAATGCTTTCATGTACAAATGTTCAGAGAAGAAAGAGCGGTCAGGCAAAAGGTCAAGAGGCTGATCTCAATGCTTACGGAGTATTAACAGCTATGAAATAGACTGATTAGAAGGAAAGCACGAGCTGTGATTGATAATGACAGAGGGCTTAATTACAGCTGAATCACAGAGAGTTTGTCTGCCACTGTCCATAAATGTAAGAGTAGCCTTACTCATTACTATCATCCCCAAAGAATCAAACGCTCCCACTGGGCTCAGGAGCACAGTATGACCACATCCGAGCTCAAGCATACTTACGCACATCAAAATCTCAACATGTGTACGCATAAGTTATCTCCCTGACACATATGGCTTCACTCTGCTCTGGAAAAAAAAACATACCCTATAATCTCTCTTCTGTCACACTCTGTGGGTCTTTGCTCTGTCCTCCTCTCTGCTTGCATTTGTGTGTGTTCACACGTCGGCCTAATTTAACATCCACCCCCCCGCCCCTCTCCTCTACATCTTAGTTCTGATTGAAGTGCCTCCAATACCAGGCTTTCTCCTCTTTCAAGACCTCTCCTGTAACTCAGCAGAATACATTTTACTGTAACCACTGAAAAGCCCTTAAGTGAACACATTTCCCATGCAGACGTTTGAAGATGGGAATTGATTTAATAATTTATTTCACACACAGGGATCTCCTATGCTCCTGATTGTACAATTACTGGCACCTGTCATGCATGGCTCATTTTTCTACTGCTGTCAGTGTTTTTTGAAGTTTATTTTTTTGGCTAAACCAAACTAAACTGAAAGCAGATTAGATTTTGTTTTTCACAATTTGGCCTGGCTAGAACATTTTTTTTTGAGAAACTGGAACAAACAGAAATTAAAGTTGGCTTAGTTTTCTCTGTTCTAAATGAAAGACGAGTTCTTTCTCAGACTGGATTTGAATATGGGTGTGCTATTGGTTTGGTGACAACAACCAATTATTATCTCTTTAGTTCCCATAAACTCATAAGGTTCTTCAAGATTGTGTCTGGTAACTGATCGATGAGTAAATACATGTCTTTCTGTTACAGAAATGTGTCAAGGACAGAGAAGTAGGTACATTTTAATGCCACTGTTCTCATTACTCCGGCACCATTTATATTTTTTGGCAGTGAGTCAGAAGCGTCTGTTTTGAGAAAATGCCAAATGACTAAACAATTAAATACAGATCTTTTGCAAGCTTATAAGGATTTTGCCAGTCAAAAGGAGCTGTTTGGTTGCCTAAAATTAACTTGATAATGAGCCCTGAAATTAATAACTGTTCGGGGGTTGGTTGTTGATCAACGGGAGTGAAAGATTTACAAGAAGTCGTCTCCCACCCAAGCTCCCCGTCCTCAGTGCATGTTGCTGATAAATGAGCTCCTTTTACATATTTTGAGAATTGTCAAAGGAATGCATTTTCTGGTATAATGCCCAGCAATTACTGCGTTCTAGCATTGCAGAGCAATATACCCTTCTTCCCAGAGCTGATAGCATGGTCATAACAGCCTATAAACACACACACGACTCCCATTACAGCTCTGCTTGAATGACTAATTTGTTAAAAGTGAATTGAAATACAACAGAGTCTCCACAGCTCCACAATAGACAGCCTCAGTGGGAGCATTCGTCTGAGTCCAGGATTACCATACAAATGACAGCCTTTTGTCCTTAAAACAATCTCTTACTGGCTGTCGCCTCCACATCTTCTCTCGCTCAATCTCTGTCTCAGTATACTCTCCGCCACCCTTCTCCCCATGCTCCTATTCCCTTTTCCTCCCTCTTAATTCTTCCTGTCAAGGCTTAATCTAGTGAGGCCAATGTAGAGCATGATCCATCAATATTGTCAATATTCATGCCAGTTAGTTTTACTACGCTTTGACTTGGCAATGAGGTGGGTGCCAGAGTTCTTCATGAGCCTTTCAGAGCTCATGTAAGTTTCAGTCACATCATTAATATAACAGCTTAGAAAGCAGATAACTATCTCCGTCCAGAATTGTGGATTTGCCAAAGTATTATGCACTATGTCTACTTCCGCAGAGCTGGAGCAGGAATAAAGGCGAATCTTACCAATACAGATTGCTTGTATGATGAGCAGAGTCACTCAGTGAAAAGGTGATTTTCATCAGATTTGAGTCTGGATGAGATGGGAAGAGGTAAAGAGGGAGCAGACGCACCTCGTAACCTCATTCATAAGTCCTGAGCATGTCCTGCACATGATATTGCCGGAAAACATCTTGTCACAACCGAACTAGGACGTGAACCCAAATGCACGACTCAGGAGACAAAGTTCAAATAAATAATCTTTTAATGACAAAGTTTCAAATGAAAATCGCTCTTAGAGAGGAAAACTGCACAACTAAAAATCAGTCACTGAGAGGAATAACAGCAACAAAAGAAAACACTCTGAAAATCTTCTAGAAACACTGCATAACAAAAAAAATAAAAAATCACTCTTATGAGGAAAAACAACTCTAAAAAAGGCAAGACAAAGTATCAAAATAACATAAGGCAAGACTGTGGTGAACACAAAGCAAAGTGTCAAAAGGACACAAAACCTGACTCTGACAAGACAACGTGGCATGGACTGGCGTAGGTTCTCTGACTCTCAAAAGACAAGACGAACTGGCACAGGACAAAGGGAGACGCAGATTATATATACCCACACACTGTAATGGGGAACAGGTGGAAACAATCGAGGCAGGGCAGACAATCAGACCAGTGGGAAACACAAAAGGGGAAGGAGCAAGTTACCTGAAATGAGAGGGGAGTTAAATGTCAAAATAAAACAAGAAACCATGACACACTGACACAAGACAAAAACTAAACATAACTTCTTGGATATGACACATCTGGAGTTAAGTCAATTTAAAAAAACAGTGGCTCACGAAAGTTAATTGGGGGGAATCTGTGTAGTTAATGGAAAGCTTGGGGCATAAAGTGTGCTTGGCTAATAAAACCAAAGAGCATCCGATAAATGTCTCTCTTTAGTAATTAAAAAGTCTACAAAAAAAGGACCTAATTAATACTGCCAAAGAGGAAAGGTTACTGGTTGTGCTGAACACTGAGGGCATGTTTGAGGGCACTGAAGAGTGTTTTTGTTTTGTTTTTTTGTACCCTCTGTATCCTGCAAATACATTGTAGATAAGTAAAATAAAAACGTTTATACAGTAAAGGATGCAGCGCATATTAGATATTTATGAGCTGCACCCTTTTTCATTTAATTTCATGATGAGCAATCGCCCAAGGCTATAGAAAGAACAGGGCCAGTGCCGGGCGTGTCTCTGGTGGTCATTCACTTGTGCTTCTTTCATGTGCAGAGCCCTTTTTGTAGTTGCTGGGCCTTAATAAGCCA